TTTAAATACGTTGTTAAGAAGGTCTGTTCAATTATTTTAATCTACTGATATTTAAATACGTTGTTAAGAAGGTCTGTTCAATTATTTTAATCTACTGATATTTAAATACGTTGTTAAGAAGGTCTGTTCAACTATTTTAACCTACTGATATTTAAATACGTTGTTAAAAAGGTCTGTTCAATTATTTTAATCCACTGATATTTAAATATGCTGTTAAGAAGGTCTGTTCAATTATTCTAATCTACTGATATTTAAATATGTTGTTAAAAAGGTCTGTTCAATTATTTTAATCCACCGATATTTAAATGTGTTGTTAAGAAGGTCTGTTCAATTATTTTAATCCACTGATATTTAAATACGTTGTTAAAAAGGTCTGTTCAATTATTTTAATCCACCGATTACTTAAAGTTATCTTGAAAATTTATAGACTGCTATCGTCACCATAGGATAAATGGCACCTGTGTCCTTTTCTTAAAAAATCCGCCTGTTTGCCCAGTTACACGTGAGAAACCAGATAAATGAGTACCAAGTGCTGGACATTTCAAATATATTTGGAGCGAGTGTAGCATAGTAATTAGCATGAGCGACTGTGGAACAAAAAGTCCAAGGTTCTAGACGTAGTGCTCCTGATAATACTTTAAAATATTAAATAATAATTACCGTGTTCACACTTCCACGTATAAGCTTGTTATAAAATTGTTAGTTAGTCTTTTTTCTTATTGATTCAGAGAACCAGACAAAGCCCTTGTGCTGCTTGATGTCTGTCCTCTTCACCTTTGACCCAAAGGTGAAAATTAGGGAGAGCTATACCTGAACTCTAAGAGTTTTTGACCAGGCCGCTTAGCCTAACTGCGTATTAGGAGTCGTTCAGGTCGAAAATTCTAATTCCTTTCGAAAATATTAAAACATATTTAAATACATTCTGTAATGAATATTATCTATAGTTTAAAACTCGCGCATTTAAAGTACTTAAGCACAGTATTATCATTTATTAACCTATTTTACGCCTTCATACGTTCACCTATGCAGGAAAAACTTCTCCAAATATCAAGAATTATTTTTCTGTAAAATATAGACTTTTATTCTGAGTAAGACTTATATATTTTATCTCTGTCCAAATAGCTTAATCTTAAACTCAGAGACTGGAGTCATCACTTTGCGAACTCTCGAAGGAATGGATAGAGAAAGGGTGCCAGAGTATACGTTGATTGTGGAAACTCGAGACAACCTAGGCAGGGGTAATAAGAACGTTGTGGAACTGCTGCTCCATCTGGTGGACGCCAACGATAACGTGCCAACATTTTTGCAGCCTCGTTATGATGCAGTTTTAAACACAGATATGAAGACTTTTAACCAGAGGCTAATAGTAAAGGTGAAACACTACTGTCATTTTATAATCAAACACCTAAGAACCACCAGAAATATAAGTATATATGCCAACTGCCCTCTTTATTAAGGACCCCATCTTATATCTGCTTTATTATATTTCGTGGCAACTCCAACCTGATATATGCTTTATCATATTTCGTGGCTACACCACGAAATATGATCAAGCAGATATCAGGGGGTGGTTGCCACGAAGTATGATTAAGCATATATTAGGTTGGAGTCACCACAAAATATAATCAGGCGGGAGCCATTGATTTGGCATAGTTCTCAGAAAATGCTGAAAGCTGTTTTGTGCATTTTTTAAGCCAATTGGTCGAGGTGAATGGTCTGCAGTTGGTTCATAATATGTCGGTGGATAATTATACAGACAAATGATGCTTTAAGGTTCATCCCAACAATAGTAAATCACATGTGCTGTGTTGGCCAAGGAAGATAACTGAAGTCACTGTCATGCTTTTTTTGCACTAATGTCAGATAATACGATTATGGTAAAAGAGTGTTTGTCTATAAAGATGGAAACCCAGCTTTCTGACGCAAACATGATGATCTGATTCAATATGGGTGTTATTCTTCCTTCGGAAGTTATCATAGGACCCAAACTCCTGGTACGGTTATGTTTTCCAAACCATCACGTTCTGCTGATGGAACAACACAAGATGAGTCAAGTGGGTTTTCTCCATATCATTATTACTCTACAGTCAGTACAGAAATGGATGAAATGTGACCCGTTAGACAACTTCCAATCATTTACTGAGCACAGATGGCGTTCTAAGCATCATTGAAGTCAGTCATGTTTTACAATTGATGTAAGCAGTTTTCATACGGGACCTTAGCTTTTGTTTTGTATAGCTGGAATACAAGGCGATGTCCTTTGCACTTTACAAACCTGTATAACATCTTTTACCTTGGTTGGTGTCAACAGTTTTGTTCCTAATGGCTAGAGCACTGGGATTATCTTTCCATTGTCATTGTTCATAGATGTTTTTGAACAAGTGGTTAAGGAACCGAAAGTTATTAACGAAGTTCGTGTTAGATAGACACCTGCTCTTATGTGCCCTTGAAATTCTGAAAAATCCTTGCTCTTACCAATTGTTTTGCAAGTTAACCATAATTTGAGTACTTCTCAGAATTTTAGGGCCCAACAGTCATCTGGCACTGCACATAAACAACGTATTTTGAATAGGAAAATAAACGGAGTGTTCTAAAAATGTTGGAGAGTTCTAATAAAATAAATAGTTAATGTTTTTAAAATTCCTAAGTAATAAATGTCTTGTCATACTTTAGATGATTTAAAGCTAAACAAATTGTAATAATTTTAACCAATTGTTCTTACAGTGCTTGAAAATGTTTTATGCCTTTTGTCCATAGAAATAACCTTATAATATTTATTTATATGTACAGAGGGTTGAGTACATGATATTCAAACGATTTTTAATATGCATATTAACAAGTCACTTGACAATCACAGCCGATATAAAGTCTGGTTGTAACGGTATTTATGTAAGCTACATTTTGATATTGTTAAACGTTTTGTAGGTAGTGTGATGCCACCGAAAATTGATCTTGCTCTTGGAAAAGGTATGTAACAGCCTTTTCCGACGCAAAATATTCATACACTCAAACCCTAAAGATGTGTTGAGATCGGGGAGTTAGAGTTTTCAAAACTTATGTAGCTTTGAGCTTAACAATAAACAAACAAACAAATCTTTTCCTGTATATGTCGTGGAAGCAGCTTGTGTTGATATGACTGGATTATGTTTCTTACTGTTGCCTCAGACACGTGGACAGCTTTTGCCACTGAATTTTGTGTTCATGAATTCTAACTTGTTGCATGACACTGCACTTTGCTTACCATTGTTGGAGTACAACTTGTTGCAGGTCTCTTTATGGATGGTCCTGGTGCCCCATGTTGATCCATTTCCAATGCCATTAATTACAATGAATATTCGATGGGCTATCTGTGCTCTGCTCACTGTAGGTATCGAAACCTAATTTCTAACGCTATAAATCTCCATAATGTTGGCCCAGGAAAGGAAAACCAACCGTAGAAAACTGAATTTATGGTACCAGGCTAAGGAAAGATTGCAGTATGTGGTGACAGTCAATGAAGTGTATGTATATATGTTAATAACTGTAATAAGTCTTGTGCCATTTTCAACCAGTCAATGAGTGAAAAAATTTTCCAAAAGTGGTACACGGCATGTCACGGAACTAATTTGAAGGTATTCATGATCAAAGATCGCTGGACTGCACCAGAACAAGTTAAGGATTAGGAGAGTATATATAAAGCCAACTTTGAATACTATCAGACCAATGTTGTAGATCCTCTGTAGCACACAGAAATACTGACTTTGTACAGAAACGAGGCCAACAGTTTATGGGTTCTCCAAGATAAGACTTTCAGTCATATCTCCCGTTCGACCATCACATATCTCGAGCAGCTGGATAATAAAACAGGTATTTATGCTATTCCATACGAAAACAGACGCTGAAAAACCACCGTCTTCGTACACTCGATGGATTATTAAAATCCTGCAAGGAGGATTGACAGAACCTTTTGCAATGGTAACTACGCTACATGGATATTTTCAAGATGCAAGATTGTAACGAAGTAGTGAGACTCCAAAATCGTCTTGATATAATGTACTCGACCACGTATATAACTCATGTTTTCATATTATAATAACTGATTTGTTCAATATTTCATAAAGTTATAAGTTATTACTGATTTGAGCGGGACCCTCTTTGAAAAGGCGCATTATTTTCCTCGTTACAGATAACAACATAGAGTTTTTATTTACACTATAGATTTTATTATATATAATTTAATTGCTTCTGAGTTGTTTTTTTTTTTTTTGGAACACTGGACAGGCTTTTGATGCGGACGAGACAGGTCCTAACAGTAAAGTGACTTACGAAATAGTTAGCGGTAACTATCAAGACAAATTTCGTATAAATCCCATCTCAGGAGAAATAACGCTGAAAGAACCTTTGGTTGAAGTAAACCGCCAGGGAGACTTAAATAACGACAAACTACCTCCCATAACATTAAACGTCAGAGCTCACGATCATGGCGTGCCCGTGCAGTCCTCCACTGTGGAAATTCGAGTGCACAACCAGGCTAGTAACAATCTTGTTGTCTTGAGTTATATTTCAGTTTCAGCCAATTAGATTTCTTCTTGCTTTCTGTTTTAGGTGTCAATCGGTATAATTCCAAATACCTATGATAGTAATATTTCAAGTGCGTTATACTTATTGAATTCTAAACAAATTAATGTTCAAAGATGAACTTATCCGTTTTATTAGCTTTGTTCGTTGTTGTTTTTTTTTACAAGTTTACTAATCTCAGGTAAAATTTCACGTGTGTTCTTTTGAATATAAAAAAGTGAAAATTTTTATATTCGTGTATAAACCTACCTTGTCGTGTCGAATGAACAAGGCCAAAAAAAACAGACAGAAAGTGGAAGAAGTAAAATAAAATATATAATTTCTTTGAACAATATACTTATTGCTTTCAATCGGGCAACAATATACCTTATTATTATAGTAATAAAGCAAAATGACAGCATGTTGTTATTCTCATTAAAGCTGGTTTCCCCCCTAGTAATTCAGAATATAAAGTTAGAAAAAAACGACTTTTACACTCCAAGTAATTATATAAAAATTTTATTTTAACCGACGTTTCGCCTTTACAACTTCTTCAGGGCTAATACATAACACAGTAATATCAAAAAAGTTTTATGCACTATCCCTGAAGAAGCCTCAAAGGCGAAACGTGGGTTAAAATAAAAGTTTTATTATAATTACCTGGAATTTAAAGGTCGTTTTTGTTTTCTAACTTTATTATCAAAATTTGTGAATCCCTCCAGTGTACACTTAAAATTCAGTAAGTAATTTGTAGAGAAAGACATGTCTAACACCATAACATCTGTATTTATTTAAAGCTATAGATATACTAATATAAATTATTGGGTTAAAAAAAACACAAAGTTTGGAAACTAAATGCGGTACCTATAGACAATAACCATCGTCTGCTTTATTGTTTTTACTTAGTTAAACTAGAAAATTGATAGCATTTATCAAATAGCACTACAGACTTCGTTTCTGCCAATATAATTATATTCTTCACCATCTGTTATATTCTCTGTGGCATGTAGGAATATCTCAACCGAACCATCAGCTTCATTATTCCACTGCCTGTAGAGGGCGTCCTCGACAGAAAAGACGAGATTGAAACGTAATTTTTTTGTTTTTTGTTGAATAATAAAACATAACAAACGAAAGAAACATTACTATTTTTACAGATACAAAATCTTAATATAAATATGCAGATGAAATATTACGTGCTTTTTTTAACCTTAAAATATAATTATTTCTAGTTTTGTTTTGTGACAGAAAATTAAACTTAGCTTCAAACATTTCAAATTACAATAGTTTGTTACCATGCAGGCACAGATAAGTACTTAAAATAATTATTATAGTACCTTGCAGTTAAATACTAAAAATATTGTTATGATACAGGCACTTTCAGTTAAGTACTAAAAATAATTATTATAGTACCTTGCAGTTAAATACTAAAAATATGGTTATGATACAGGCACTTTCAGTTAAATACTAAAAATATTGTTATGATACAGGCACTTTCAGTCAAATACTAAAAATAATTATTATAGTACCTTGCAGTTAAATACTAAAAATATTGTTATGATACAGGCACT